GAGAAAATAAGGGGGAGGAGATAAAGGGGAAAGAAGGGGATAGTGAAGGAGGAGGAAGATGAAGGCAGGAGAGAGGGTAGGAGAGGAGGTAAATCCTTTTCAGACAGTTGACAGCAGGGAATCAGGCAGGAAAGGCAAGCGTAAAGAGTGCAGCTGGAGGAACCCTGGGATGGAAGAGGAAGAGTGGATGGTCCAAGGCTGGCAAGGCCCTGGGAGGCTGCTCCAGAACTGTCACCCACTGGAGAGAAGTCCCTTCAGGAGGACACTTACCATCCCTGAGGAGGCTGGAGACAGTGCGGGAGACTACTGGTTTCCAGAAAGGCTCTGGACAGCTAGCTATGGGACCAATCACAGGCCAGGGACAGGATGGTAAGACGTCAGAGCCATCGGCTGTGGAGTGAAGAGATCACTGGTGAATTTAACTGGGTGGGGAAAAGCCATCATCCAGCCCGCAGTAGCTTTAGGCCTGTGTCCTGAGGAAGAGATGTGGGTAAAGGACAACCTTTTCTAGAATGGAGGCGAGCTGAACCTGGAAAAGCATTTCAGTGGCTATGAGTGCTCACTGCTGGTGCAGAGGACCCACCTTTGGTTCCCAGCACCCCCGTTGGGCAGTGCACAACTGCCTGTAACTCCAGCATTAGGGGATCCAACACCCTCTTCTGGTTTTCATGGTTACCTCCTGCATTCAACAAGCAAAGACCCCCCCACACACACAAACTCATAATTCAAAATAAGATAAATCTTTTTATTTTTTAATGGAGAGATAGCTCGGGCCACTTGCTTCTCTGACAGGACTCGGGTTCTGGTCCCAGCACCCACATGACAGTTCAGAACCATCCATACACATACCTCCAGTTCCAGGAAATCTGATGCCCTCTTCCGACTTCCCTGGGCACCGGGCCAATGTGAGCTACACATACACATGCAGACAAAACACTCAAACACATCAAATAAATGTCTCTAAATAAACTTTTTTATTTGGAGAAAACTTGAGCCCTGAGAGAGGAAGATGCCAGAGGTGAGGTGACAGTTTGTGAAGGGAGTGATTCTGTAAAACAAGGCACAAGGCTGCAGGGGTTTAAGAGGGACCCTCAGTAGAATACCTATAGCATACAAATTAAGAGTGCTAAGCCAAGCATGGTGGAACACAAGCTTAATCCTAGCACTCAGGAGGCAGAGGCAGGTGGAATCTCTCTGAGTTCAAGGCCAGCCTGGTCTATAAAGCGAGTTACAGAACAGCCAGGGCTACACACACACACACACACACACACACACACACACACACACACACACACACAAAGCCTGTGTCTGAGGGGTAGGGTGGGTACTTAGGGGGCTTGATGGATGGGGAATTGTCAGTCTGAGGGAAGAAATATCTAGTAATGAAGGTCATTTGATGATGGGACAGACTCAAGGCCACAACAGTCAGACAGCTAAAAGAACTGGCCATCAGCCAAAGGGAGTTTGAGTGGCACTGACCTAGAGAACGACGCACTTCAGTTACTAGGCAACTGGTCAACAGCCTCAGACAACACCTGAGCTGGGCCCTCCAGGGAATGGCATTTGCAGTTAATAGTGTCTGGGTTGTGGGGAGATGACCACAGGACCATAGATTGTTTAACGGCAAGGGGTGACTTCAGTGTGCTCCTTACCTTCCTGTGTTGACAGAAAGTTGGGCGTCCTGGGGGAGTAACTGGACTGTTGTGCAGAGCAAAGTGCGTGGGAAATTTGTTGGGTCTCCAGTCCCATCAAGAGAGGGAAGGAGATGGTGAGCACCTTGAACTCGGCCAGGACAAGGCAAAGACAGGAACAGATCCAAGCTTTCGCCTAGAATCGTCTAGAGGTCATGGCTCAGTGGTAGAGCACTTGTCTAGAATCCCCCAGTGAGGGACTGGGGGCGTGGCTCAGTGGTAGAGCCCCTGCCTAGAATCCCCCAGTGAGGGGCTGGGGGCGTGGCTCAGTGGTAGAGCTCCTGCCTAGAATCCCAGTGAACACCTAAGTGCACATCTCAGACATAGAGTGCTGGCTTAGCATACAAGGCCCTGGGTTTCATCCCTGGCACTTCAAAAAAGCAACACCAGGTATTGTAGAGCGTACTTGTTACCGGGTGACTAAGGAGGCTGAAGCAGAAGGATACGGAGTTGAAGGGTGGAAAGAGATTGCAGTTGCTGCTTCTAGGCTGGCCTAGAATTCACAGTGTAACCCTGTCTGGTCTCAGACGCACAGCAGTCCTCTGAGGGGCTGGGATGTCAGGTGTGCTCATCCTGATACTCTACCAGGCCAGCATTGTCTAACTATTAAGGAAGTTCTTCACATACACAATATGAACCGACTTTCCCTCATATTGTGATGCATGATCAGCCCAAACCCCCGCCCCAACTTTCCCCCAGTCCTAATACAGGTAGCTTCAGACTGTGGAGTCCCATTAGTGAGGAGAAGGAGGTGGCCATTTGCACGCACGCACACACGCAGAGAGAGAGAGAGAGAGAGAGAGAGAGAGAGAGAGAGAGAGAGAGA